TAAAGTCTGCGAAACACAAAAAATCGGGTAAGGAATTCTGTTAACTCGGGAGAAGATGTTAGGCATTCTCGAATTTTGCAATTTTAGCGTGGTTGCTTTATCATCATACCGAAATTAATTAATTGTTAATCACATATTTTTAAACCTATGTGCATTTTACCTTTTACCGCTTTTAAATTACTTTGATTATTACATTATGAATTATGTTTGAAACAGACCACATGTGTGTGAATCCATTTTATTTAGTGTGCTAGAAATCATGTCACGCGGACGTGTACATGCTTAATAACACTCTATTATTTATTAAGATTGTTTGGCCAAAGTCGCGCGAATGAGTACTTTGATTTATTTCTAAAATCATAATTATGTCACGCGAATGTGTACATAATTACAATAATATATTAAATCGCGCTTAAAGCATTCTACGATGTTCAAAAGTATTTTATTTGTTTTCCTAAATTCGAGACTAGCGAAAAGGAGAAGCATTATAGAATTTAATTTGTGGGAAAAAATGTATATTGGATAATGGATAGCAAGGAGCCTACAACTAATTTGTTTTGAAATGAATGGGTTAAACTTGGTCTTTGCTACAACCTGATAATTGAATATGTAAGAAACGGGGATATTCTGAATAAATGGTTTAAATCCACTAAGGCATTTGCATTATGCAACTATGTCCCTCTTCATTGTTTAAATAAAATTGTTTGGACATTTGGGCAATAAGGTATTACTCTGTTGGTGGATCAGATAACAACAAAATGGGCTCAAGTGTTAAGCCTACACCTATTTAGCCTTTTACACGTATAACCAGCAGTGGGTCCATTTGACTCTGCACCACTAGGTGGCCTGTAACATTGTGTTCCAGGCTCCTTTTGAATTTCAGGCCCATAATCAGGCTTCATCATAGCAAAACAAACAACTCAAATTCCAGAATCCACATTTACTCTGGATTTAACATTTTTAACACTAATTGTCGAACATTTTTTTTTTACACATAACAGGAATATAATTGACTGGAATCATCCTCATTGCATTTGTACTTGCATTCAAATCTTAATCTAACAAAACTCTAACATTTAACTCCACAAATCATTTAAATTAAAGCTACATGTCACAAATTCATATTACAATTCCAAATATAAAAAATTATACTTCTATTTGAGCAAAATCTATATTGATTTCAAACACCTCTGACGGCCCTATTTTGGCTTTGCAATTTACATATTTGACCAACTAGTGGCCAAATCTATGAATTACAGCTATGTTCATTGCAGTAAAGTCCCTTCCCTGTCATGAGCTTAACTACTAGGCACTTCTCAACCCATCATCAGGAACACATTCGAATCAAAATTCACACTCAAACAATTTGTGATACAGAAATGTCAATAGGAAAAATTAATCAGAAGCATGCATCCTTTGTTCAACCACAATTCCAGGTATTTTACACATATTGTATAAACATCTCACATATATGTGAACATAAGCATCGCATGAATACAATAACACAACTGAAACTCATAAAAATAACAAAGAATTCTGATTATGTTGAAGTTCAAATTGTACAAGTTTATAGATGTGTACCTAGACTTGAAAACAAGCCGGAATAGCCAAATAAAGGTAAAGAAATGAAGAATGAAGCTCAGTAAATCCAGGAACAAGAAGAATCAACAAATCAGCACCTTTAACAGCTCAATCACTTGAGAAATCCCAGAATTATCAAATGGATGAATTAAAATTTGAAAACAGCTTCAAAATCTCCTTTTCTACTATGCTTTTCTCCTCTTTTTTGAAGTTTTTCTGTTGTTTTTCTTAAGAAACTTTGCAACTCAGATTTGGAGCTCTAGGGTTTTTAGCTGTTGATGTAATTTTTGCGTGTGTAAAAATGTATGAGAGTGTGTCTTTTTATAACAGGGATTTTAGGGCAACCTACAAATTTTTCTATTTCTTTTTCACCCTTGTAACTTTCTATTTTTACCCCTTTCCCCAAATTCTGACCTGTTTCTATTTTTTCTTTGCAGAGACAGTCCTTTTTTTTCTTTTTCCTAAAAGCTTCTTCTCTAACTAACTAAAATTTCCTAAGCTAATTCCCTAAATTGCCCTTCACCACTTTAATATTTGTAATTTTCAGAATTCAATCACTCTTTTTACTTTTGGCTCTTCTTTTACCTAATACTTAGCTTTACTAAATAACACACTCTTGGCCCTGGGCCAAGTCACCCTGGCCAAATGGCCCACACCATGCAACACCAACTCATCAAGACTAAATGGAAATCAAAATCACAGAAGACATCAATTGCTATTCCAATTTCAAGATTAAAATTAAATGAAACAATGATAGTACTAACTAATATGGCACCTCATTAACAATCAACTACCAATTTATCAACAGACCTTAGCACAATATAATCATAGCTAACTAAACATGCCCTCAATTAATCTGAAACGAACTACTAATTAATCTACTCTTAAACATGTAATGCAATCAGCCAAAATAAACGGATATCAATCAAACAGTAGACCGAACAACTAAAAAAAATGAAAATGAAGGAATGAAGAGAAGGATTACTCATGAAGACATCACTGCCGGCCTCAGGGAATCCAGGCAGTGGTCGATATCGCTACGCGGGCACTGATTCACGCTTGAAAGGCAAAGCCAATACTACATGTAATGATAACAACCATGATCATCCGAAGAATCAAATATAGGGAGATACTCCAAGGCTATGGAGGTTTGTCAATTTGAGATATTGAGGATTTTGACCGAAAAAGAAAGGACAAAGAAAACTATTCAAGCTCCGGCAGGTCAACGACAAGTTAACCAAAGTCCTACCGCCGTGAAATGATGTGAAACCAGTACCAATAGAAAGTACTCATCAAGGACAGTCATTTGGTGTAAGTTTTACCTCGAAACGGATCCATTCAAAAGGGGATGAAAAAAGATTATTTTTTTTTGGATCTGAGATCTTTAATTAGAGAAAATCAGGTGATCTTTTGGGAAAACAGATAAGATATTGAGAATAGAGGTGATGTGAGGGGTTGCAGGGTAGTATTTGGGGGTTGATTAATTGGAGGTGGGCCGCCGTCGTGGGCGATTTCCAGCAGCAGCGTGGGGCGGGGCTGAGAGAGAGAGAGAGAGGAGAAAAAAGGGGTTTGTGAGATAGATTGGGGGTAGGGGGTCAGTCTGAGATAGTTATATGTGGAAGGGATGGCCAGTTCACGATCGCTAATCTGTCGCTAAAACGCTCATATCTAGTAGAATTTCTTGATAATCCGTTGCTAATCCATCGTTGAATGATATTAGTGACGGATTTTTATATTTAGTTACAGAATTTGTCCGTCGCTAAAATCTGATTTTTTAGTAGTGGATGAGCACCAAAACGATGTCGTTTCGTTTAATGCAGGGGGTGGACTGGCTTGTTTGAATGGACTGGGCGTGCATCTCATGAACTTGGACCTCAAACACTCGGCCCAAACGACTTAGAAAACTCCGCAGCCCCCACCTCTCTTTACTCTTTGTTAATATTTCAAAATTAGCCACTTTAGACTCAGTTTCTATTTAAAAAATCAATTTTGTATGGCTAACCTATTTATCAATTTTAGCTAATGATTTACTAATGAACTAATTAATTAATTTTAAGAATACAAAATAATGGCAAAGCGACTAATGCATTTTTGTGATTTTTATCTAATTATGCCCTTAAAACTACGAATGAAAAATCTAAAAATGCAAAGATGAAATATTTACACTGTATTTATTTTTTGTAGCTATATTTTCAGCAAATTTATCATTTATAGCTATATTTAAATTTTATAGCAAATCCATGAAATAAGAGATTAATTGTTTTAAACTGAAACAATAGAGCAACAAACTCTCGTAGCTTAGTTGGTTTGCACTCGCTTAGTTAGCGAAGGTCTTGAGTTTGACTCCCAACAATAGTATTTTATATTTTTGTATTTCTGTATTTTGCCTTAGTTGTAGTTGTTGAAAGGATTCAAGATTTTCTATATGTTTAATAAATTTATTCTATTTGCGCAGCATAAACTTTTAATGTATCATTCGGTCTGAGAAACAAGGTGATCTCAATTTTTTTTTTCAGATGGAGCTAGGATTTTTAGTTTATGAATTTTATTTTCCATAATAAGGCAGCTTACTAGGTTCTTTATAAATTATCTTTGGATGTTAAGTGAATTTTTCAACGGTCAAAGTAGGACTGGTTAGCTGGGGAGTTCATTATCCCTTGCCAGTCGTAGTATTGCACTACTACGAAGGAAAAATCACTCTCATTGAAGCGCTACTTAGCTCATAAGTTGTACCACTTGTGACTAACCATACAATAAATTATACTAGTATTTTTTTTAATTATAACCACTAACATCACTATGTTCCAGTGTTACGATCTTGATACTCTCTTGTGAAGATCCAAAAACTCCTGTAAGAAAGGTTTTGTGTTTTGTCCAATCCGTTCACCTTAATTTGTCTGTGCCTTGTCTGAAACTAACGCATATAAGACATACACACTACAAGAAATGTGCTTTTCTGTGACGGGTTATAGTGGCGACTATGATAGTCGCGGCAAAAATATGATATTACTGGCCACCGAATATATACTAAGTGGGCGTTTGGATATAAGAATTGTAAAATACCCCAAAAAAGTGAAAAAGTTTTTCAAATAAAAATGATATTTGAAAATTAGAGTTGTGTTTGGACATAAATATAATTTTGGGTTGTTTTTGAAGTTTTGTGAGTAATCTGAGTGAAAATTTTGAAAAATATTTTTTTGGAGTTTTTCAAAATGTCGAAAAATTTCAAAATGTATTTTCAAGTAAAAATTGAAAATTTTATGAACAAATTTGATTTCGGAAAAAAGTAAAAATTTTTTAGGAAAAAAGAAATTTTTTTTCTTATGTCCAAACGGGCTCTAAGTTTCCCATAAAACTGAAATACTTTTCGTGGCGACAGAAAAATTGTCGGCGCTAAAATATCTTTTGTCGCCACTTATGTGGAGCTTTTGTTTAGACCTTCTTAGTCGCCACTATTTCGTTTGTTTGGTATTGTTTAAATTTTTATGTAAATCCAAATCTACCCAAGCCCTAGTAAATCGACTTAATGCGGAATTGACCTTTCTGAGGGCTTTCTTTAAGGTAGCAATTTCACAATTTTGCTTCAGATCTGAAATCCTATATGATATCAACGCCTCTCCGCTACTGAATACGGTCCTTATCTCCAAAATCGGTAAGTTTCTCGTACTTATTAAACGATCATAAACTCTCATGCTATTGTATTTATCTTTTGATTAAATTTTTTTTATGAAGCAATAATATATATAAGGAACGGCATCTGTAGAGGCTTTTTTATTTATATCAACTGGATAATTTGAGTAGTGGCACAGGTTTGTATGCAAAAGGTAGTGCTGTACTTAGGATCTGTACATCCGAAATTGGCTTGGAATTAGTTTACAGTATAGAGAACTTCACGAAAATAGGAAAAACGAATTTCATTTGATGTATAGTGTGAGTTGAGATTGAAGAAAAGAAAAGAAAAGAAAAAGACTTTCCCAAGTAAAAGGTCTACTAAAAAGATATAGCCTGAGAGTTATATGACTAATTTGATACCTTCTGCTGATATGTGATGTGTAATGTGAGACTAGATATAGGAATTTAGAGGACTGCGCATCAGAATTTGACTATTTGAAAACCAATAGCTTAAATTTAATAATGCAGTAGGTAAGCATAAACAACTAATTAAATGTTCATTATGCAGATACTAGTTGTCTGGCCAAGTCCTGTTTTTGCTTTACTTGTGGATTAATACACATTTTAATACCTGCTTATTTTGTTGTTTCCTATGATTTTTTCTTTTCCCTAATAGGGATGTCGTGCTAAAAAAGTAGGCATGTGAAATTGAATCCTTCGTGTGAGTAATTTGAAGTATGTGAAAGAACAAATCGTTTGTATTGTGCAAGATGCAAGGTTCACTGGCATGCATATGGTAAATAACTACTATCAAATTCTAGTCCTTCTACCAGCTGCATTGTTCAACAATGGTAACTAATTGAAAATTGTATGAGAATCTCAAAGAAAACATTCCCCCTATGTGCGACATAAGGTAGAATGATTTTTATTCATCCTTGCTTCTTGGAAAATTGAACAGGTGCATTGCTACTCGTCCTATATGTGCGACATAATATAAATCTTCATTTTGTGCCTATATTCCTGATTTTCTATTCATTGTTAGGAAATTTAAGCGTTTGTTGCCTACTGTTTTGACCAAATTATAGGCATGATGAGTACTGAGTAGTATCATCTATGGCATACTCTGTCTCTCACATGAGAAGCGGTAGTCCTATAAACTTAAGACTAAAACTGTTTGATTCAAGAGATGCATCAATCTGTTGTTATCTCTCATTTGTTGCTTGCTACCCTGTTTGCTACATGCTTAGAAAATTTCTGGTTTAGCTAATGGTATTGCGATTCCTTAGCCTACTCTAGTCTCTGCTAATTTGTTCAAGCAGGTTAATTAGAGAATTGTTAAGTCATTTTGCAGGATCTTGTTTGCTTTGTCTAGTTCATTTTGCATGATCATGCTTTAAAAAATTATTGTCCTATCTCTGGTACTCTCTTCTTTATTGTGCTCCATGTGCCTAATTAATTATTATTATAATTTTTGGTTGAAATGTTAGAACATGTTATGATTTAGAAAAAGTGATAGTCTGAAAGTTGGTCTTCGTTCCTGTACCAATTTTTAAAAAGTTTATGTTCGATATCTTAAATAATCAAATTACAGTTAATAAGGTATTATATCTCATCCTGTATTACCTCAGAAGAAAGAAAAAGGTAGCTAGTTATCTAATACCTGATAAGAAACAATACAAGTTTTGTCATCGCGCTCTTTTTGTTTGAGGAAATTGTTTTATTAGCGTTTGTCTACATGGTGAACAGTTGGCTGTGAGTATGAAGCTTGTATCCGTTTATGTTATTGAGTTTGTTTGTATGATCTTATCCTATTATTTACTTTGTTATAGTTTCTGCCATCTTTTTCAAGATGATCCTAGAGTTTCTCAAAATCTAGTTCCTGCTTAATATTGAATTATCAAAGTGAACCTTTGCATTCTTCTTCTCTTTTTTTTTGTTTTGTTTTCAGCGACACAGATTCTTCAAAGATGGGAGCTGGTTGCCAAGAAGGAATTTGAAGATATTTTGTGGGTTTTTTTTGGCCATGTTTATATACAACTACAATGTATTATGAAGTATTATGTACACTTCACATTATGATATCTGTTACACCCCGTAGTATTGTACGTTGGATTTGTAGTAAGATAATTGACATCAGTTCAAGGACAAGATTATTTTGAGGTTATAAGTATAATGTTATTTCAAATAAGTGATAAGTAAATTCGTGAAGGTGAGAGGGTAAACGAATCGAAGAAAATGAATTTCGTCGAAGTTTGACATTTTAAGAATTAGTACAAAACTTTATACTCTTTATATTAGGTTGGAAAATGTAGAATTTTAAAAATACATTTTGTGAAACATTTAAGTGAGATTTTTGGATAACTATTAGGTTTGCGTACACTCTATCTTTCCCAGATCCCACTTGTGAAATTTTACTAGGATGTTGTTGTTGTAGTAGTATTAGGGACATCATCCACGTGAGATATAGAAATTTGGCAGTTGATATCTATTCATGTGCTTAAGGAGGTGATGCCAATGTTTAAAGACGTGTTGAGTTGTATGTATCAAAGGGGTCATGTCAAGGGAAAAAGTGACATTTACACCTTTATCTCCTTCTGTTAAGAATGCCATTAAGAAGACAACGTCCCATTCTTAAAATCCACAAAAATCTTATAGTAGCAACGTCCTATTCTTAGCATCAACAAAAATCTTTTGTTGAGATTTCACTTTAGGAAAATTAGTGATAATCTTAACCATGAAATACAGAAACTCTATTCCACACGAAATATTGTTCATAAGTTCTAAAGTGAATCGGGTATTACTTCGTAGTGATGTAAATTAACGTGAAGCGATTAAGAATGCAACCCAAGTTCGATCCAACGTCTATGACCTTCAACGAGCTTGTATGAGCATTCGAGGTTAAATGTTTATCAGAAGGATTTACTAGTCGTAGTCATGCAAAGATGGAATTGAGGTATGTTAAGGCTATCCTTTCTTTTCTTTTGGCATGATCCACACGATATAAACGAAATGAGCAAACGCGCAACTTTTATAAACGCCTCTATTCGTAGAAGCACTAGAGATGCCTATGTTCTTGATTTCCCATGTGTCTTATTATATCTTTTGTTCATGAGTCTCAGAAAAATACGTAGTTGATAAAGTTTATTCGAAAGTATATTGATCTTATGACATTCCGAGAAGTCTTATGAACTTACTTGTTATGCATTTCATTCATTTATATATGTACATTGACCCATGACCAGATGTCGTTATATACACGTATATTATATGTATATGGGATATGGGAAAAGGTTATGGCGTTATATACGCACCACCACCTGATCAGCTGGTATACGTTGATGATTTTTCCCACAGTGGCCGAGATGATATGATGGGATGCCCTTAGAGGCTTGATGATGCTATGTACGCATATACCTATGCATGATATGATATTTATGCGCATATGCATGACATTATAAATGTTTCATGATTCACAGAGCTATTCAGACTTACAGGTTGAGTCTTTTCCTCTATGTTTCTTTCATGTTTATTATATACGGCTTTTATGTCTTACATACTCAGTACTTTATTTGTACTGACATCTCTTTTTCCTGGGGACGCTGCGTTTCATGCCCGCAGGTTCCGATGGACAAGTTGAGAATCCTCCAAGTAGGCTATCAGCTCAGCGGAAGGTGTTAGTGCACTCCAATTACTCCAGAGTTTCCTATTTGGTCAGTATTATTTGGACAGGTATTGATTGGCATGGCGGTCCTGTCCCTACCTTTATGATATTTTTGTACTCTTAGAGGCTTGTAGACAGATGTCGGGTATATGAATACTAGTATTGCCTTGCCAGCCTATGTTTTGAGTATACAAATGATCATGTCGGCCTTATAGGCCCGTATATTATATGTATAAGTCGGTATGTCATGTTGGATCATCCTATGTCGAGTATTCCCTCATGTTTTATTCTAGTTATCTCATGACGGCCTTTCCGGTTCATTTACCAAAGATAGTATGATACGAAAGATACGTTACGTTGGTACTCGGTTGAGTAAGGCGTCGGGTGCCCGTCACGGCCCATTGGTTTGGTCGTATCAAAAGTATTATCAGAGCAGTTCTGTCCTAGGGAATCTATAAGCCGTGTCTAGTAGAGTCTTGTTTATGGGTGTGTTGTGCACCACACTTATCAGCAGGAAGCTACAGGGCATTTAGGACTGTCACTCTTTCTTCTTACTCTAGATCGTATGGTAGAGTTCAGTTGTAGAAATTCAAATTCCTAAATTCTATTCTATTTGTAATACAACAATACTTACATCCAGAAAGACAGTTGGTAAGAGATTGAATGTGGCTGTGGAAGAGTTGTGTCAGAGGAACTCGATTTTGCATTATGCTTATGATGAGTAAATGTGAGGTCTTCAGTAACTCATGTGTGTACTAAGACGTGTGAGTTTCTTGATAAGGAGTTTTAAGGCAAGAATATCTATCCACCCATATGGTGAAAAGAAATAAGAGATTCAGAAGGTAGATACAAGTTTCAACAAGTAAAAGAAGAAAGGTGAAGAAGGGTACGAGGCACCCAGTTAATGAAGATTTTCAGTATTTACAATTCAGTCAGAGATATATAAGCATTTTGAGTTACCTTCAACAGTAACATATGTATGTACAATCGGCAGCACCCATCTCAGTTATGCCCTATGGGAGCTAACAAATATAGTTTAAGAGAAGGACGGGATATCAGGATCCGGCTAGGGTTTGAGTGACCCAAAATGGCGGATGAATTATTGCATTAGTTAACATTTCCTAAGGATATTGCTGTCACGACCCAAAAACCTAACCTGTCGTGATGGCGCCTATGGTTGTACTAGGCAAACTGACTCATTCCAAAATAAACCGGGAGTTCAAATCAAAACAAAAGAGCGGAAAAAAAAGCCCGACATTAGGGTGTCACTAGTCATGAGCATCTACTACAATCTGTCTAACACTATCAAGACTAACTCAGTCTGAAAAATAGCTAAATACAACTAACGGAAGATAAGAGGGAGAAGAGCAGGGTTGTGATCGCCACGTAACTACCTTGCTATCCTCGGGAAAAATCTGCAACCAGAATAATCAACAACCGCTACCGTGTCCAGCTACACCTGGATCTGCACACAAGGTGCATGGAGTAACGTGAGTACGCCAACTCAGTAAATAACAACAATAAATAAAGACTGAGCAGTAGTGACGAGCACTAAAGCATATAACGTTCATATCAGGAAATCTCAGTAAAATACCACATGCTTTTAAAATCAGGATTTGAATCAAAACATCTCGTTTAAACCCAGTTCCAGTAAAAATCATTTAAAGATATTTTTCAACAGTTTTCAAACAGAGAAAAAATGCAAAGGTGAGAAAAATGGTGAAATCATAAACAGCCCCTCGGGCAAAACATCACTCATATACAGCCCCTCGGGCAAACCTCACAGTCACTCGTGCCACTCGGGCATACCTCACAATCACTCTTTGCCACTCGGGAAAACCTCACAATCACTCTTGCCACTCGGGCATACCTCACAATCACTCGTGCCTCCAAGTCACTCAGCACTCGGCACTTGCACTCAGTAGGTACCTGCGCTCACTGGGGGTGTGTACAGACTCCGGAGGGGCTCCTTCATCCCAAACGCTATATCAAGCCAAATCATGGCATAAATCACTCAGGCCCTTGGCCTATATCAAACATGCTGCGGCGTGCAGCCCGATCCCATAAATATGCAACATGTTGCGGCGTGCAGCCCGATCCCATAAATATGCAACATGTTGCGGCGTGCAACCCGATTCCATAAATATGCAACATACTGCGGCGTGCATCCCGATCCCATAAATATCTTCACAAATCAGGCCCTCGGCCTCACTCAGTCATAAACCTCTCAAGCCACTCGGGCATTTCAGTAAAAACAGGGTGCTCAACCCAAAACAACATTTATATGCATCAAATTCGAGTAATAAAATTGAGTTATGCAGTAAACAGGTATAACCATGACTGAGTATATATTTTCAATCGAAAACAGTGAGAGGATAATAAAAAAAGGCCCTTAAGGGTCCAAACAGCACTGGCAAAAGGCCCAAACATGGCATTCAGTCCAATTTACAGAAACTCTTTCTAAAACATATAAGTATCTTTACAGTTGCTACGGGACGGACCAAGTCACAATCCCCAATAGTGTACGCCCACACGCTCGTCACCTAATATGTGCGTCACTTCAAAATAGTAGAATGATACCAAATCCAGGGTTTTATACCCTCAGGACTAGATTTACAATCGTTACTTACCTCAAACCGGACAAAACTCTATCCCGCGATGCTCTTGCCCCTCGATTCGGCCTCCAAACACTCTGAATCTATCCAAAACCAGTATATTATCATCAATATACGCTAAAGGAATGAATCCCATATGAAAATTATCAAATTAAACCACAAATCCCGAAATAGGTCTCGAAATCCGACGGAATTCACAAAACTAGGAAACCCATTCACTCACGAGTCCAACCATACTAGTTTCACTCGAATACGACTCCAATTCGATGTTCAAATCCCAAAAATTCATTTTTTGAAGTTTCTATAATTTTTCCCAAATTGCTACCTCAAAGTACTAATGAAATGATGAAATCATTGATATATTCACAATTAGTAACCAAATCCGAGTTAGAATCACTTACCCCGATGAATTTCTTGAAAAACCGTCGAAATATCGCCACAAACCGAGCTCCCTAGGTCCAAAATATGAAATAATACCCTAAACCCCATTTATATAGTGTACTCTCTGATCTCCACTATGCTGACTGCGAAAATCTAGGCGCGGCCGCGAAAATCCAACCCCCGCGGTCGCAAACAAGTAGCGCTGTCCGCGCTTCTGGTGGCTGTAGTGACAAGCTTTAGTATTTTGGCCATAACTTTCATTTTTGAATCATCTCAAAATTCCTTGTAGATCGAAAGATATAGGCTTCCGAAGTTGGACCAGCGAATCTGCAAATCTGCCCTGGAGCGCCTCCGCGACCAAATTTACGCGGTCAACGCCCCCTCCTCCGCCCTCAGCGGAATTTTTGCCACCCTCAGCGAAATTTTAAGCACGAGAACCATGCCTCAGTTCCGGAAATACCCGGACTCGCTCAAAACTCACCCCGAAACACACCTGAGTCCCCTAGG